AGAAAGCCTTTGACAAGATTCCACACCCAAGGCTCTTAAGCAAAGTAAACAATCGTGGGATAAGAGTGATCAGTAACTGGCTAAAAACAGAAAACAAAGGGTAGGAATAAATGGTCAGTTTTCAGAATGAAGTTGGCTAAATAGCAGTGTCTCCCAGGGATCTGCACTGGGACCAGTCTTTTCAACATATTCATAAATGATCTGGAGGATAGGTCCATCAATGGCTATTAGCCAAGATCGTCAGCATTTCAACCTGATGCTCGGAGTGTACCCAGCCTCTGTTTGCCAAAAGCTGGGAATGGGTGACTTGGGACAAATCACTTGATGATTACCCATTCTGTTCATTTGCTCTAAATCACCTGGCATTGGCCACTGTCGGAAGACTGGATACTGAGCTAGATGGACCTTTGTTCTGACCCAGCAATGGCCATTCTTAGGTTCTCAGAGACTACTAAACTGGCCACTCTGGTTCACCTTGGGTGGGTCTTACTGTGTGAGTAATGGTGGCAGACTTACTACTTTGTTGCACTTCAGTTTCTTCAGTAAAGTCAATGACAGCTGAACCCTCAAGCCAATAGAATGTTTAGCAATTGGAACGCTGGGCTAAAAGGCAAAGCTTCAGTTCCTAAGTGAGACACCTGAACATGATTAATCTACTGTGTATCCCACGAAGCAATGGAGGAACTTCATGTTTCTGTAGATTAGGAGGCTGGTATTCACATAGCTTTGGCTACCGCCTAATGGCCATATTTTATTTAGAATACATGAAGTTGCTGTGCTTCTGTCACTTTCATCTTTGGAATAAGAAGTTAAACTGCTGGAAAGAAAGTACCATTAGTCTACATTGATCTAATAATCAAAATAAATTATACACCGTCCATGCAAGCAAAGAAATTCAGCTAAGCTCTCATTCACCTGGAAGTGGAAAATACTTAATAAACACCCTATAGTCAACTGTCAAAGAAGATCACCGGAGACATATTGACCTTGGCAACCAGGCCTAGTTCCATTCTAGCTTTTGCATCTACTTATCAGAAAATGCAGAGAGCTGGAAGTGAGCACCCAGGCAACATTAGTTAACTTTGAAGCAACACCTTCAGTACAAAACAGCCTGCATAATGCCAGACAGAGAAAGACAGTCAGAATAGTGCATATTGCAGTCATGGTAATTTGATTTTAAATCATTCCCAAAAACAACCCCACCCCCAAAAAATAAAGGCTCTCCCACCTCCTTCATCTCTGTTCTTGCTAGAGAAAACTGCCTTCAAAACCAGACAGGATGAAAAAGGGTACACCTCATGAAAGGCAGACCTTAGAAGCCACCTTAGGCATCTGAGCATGTATCTAGGACAGGGGTTCTCAAAGTTTGAGAATCACTGATCTAGGAGGTCACTGAACATTCTTTGGGTCTTGTTATACCCAACTGGATTTTTGGTAGCCTTCAGAAAGACACAATAAAACTTTTCAACATGCCTATAAAGTGAGAGGTTGAGAGAAATTTCCATGCCCAGAAGGAGCGTACAAACTGAACTGTGAGTTCTCCGTGGATATAGATTCTCAGAAGGTAAAGCATTTCACTCAGCTATCTAATAGAAACTGTAGTTCGATGCAACAGCCTGTTTCAGCATTCACTTCACTGGCAACTTGGCTATTCGAAGGCAAACTGAATCTCTCTATTTTCAGAATGCCAACTGATTCCCGTGATCATTAAAGGTGACAGATGAGTGGCACAGTGACAGTGCTATTCTCCTGTGCTTGGGATCAATGCTGCTAATTTATTCCATTTTTTGGACTAAGGGTAGTCCCTCTGCTGTGCTCCAAAAGACTCTTTTCATCATTGTTACACCCAAACATTTGTCCATACTCTGCCTTTAAATGATGGACAGCCTTGTCTAAGGCCAGAAGGGACCATCTACCTCTGACCTCCTGCACGTCACAAGCCACTAACCTCCATCCAGTTATCACTGAATTTAACCCAATAACCTAGATTAGACTGAACTATTTTGTGCCACAGGCCAAGAATAGGAAGAATTGAGACGCACCAATGGCAGAGAATTGATTTGGTGAGACACACCCAGATCACGTGAGAGCTGCAAGGAAAGGTATCTGGGAATTTCCTTTGGGGAGTGCCATGTGATGCAGAGATAATGCTATGCAACATTAGCATGTGATAGGGGTCAGAACCATCCCACACACTATTTCTTCTCTTCTGTTGATTACACACTCAGGGCTTGCTTGCACTTGACCTTTGTGCACATGTGCTGATGGTGACCCTTTCCCCCCGTGAACCTTCTACTCAAAAGCCAGGCACAATCAGAATCTTTGAGCTCAAGAAAGCATTTAAACGCTCAGCAGTTTACCCATCATGTTTTTTTTTTTTTGCCACACCAGCATTGTGCAGTAGCATTCAACATTTGTGGAAACCTACCCAACTAAATGAGCCATCTCATCACTACGTACCATAGAAATGCACTGGTAAGCTAGCACCAGCAGAATGGGGAACATCCCATCAAATAGGTATGAGTCTCCTGCTCTCAGTCCTCTTACAAACCAATAGTGATCCCCGCATGGAAAGCAAGGCAGGCAAAATAAAGGGAGATGCACATTAAGCAACTAAGAGGAGGCAAATCCAATTAAGCTGTGACTACAAAGAACTAAAAGGGCAACTATGTCTAGCACGCAATATGCAGCTTCAAGAAAAACAGCTGCTCATAACAGTTTCCCTTGTGAGGAGCCAAGCAGATGACCCTGATGCTGTAACACAAGGCCAAATTAAAATTAACCATATGCCAGTGCGATGTGGAGAAAGATGGATTAATTAAACTTTGCTTCTTCTCCTCATTAATAGGCCACCTTTCGTTCCGGGGAATTTCCCTCCCTCTTCCTCATGGTTCATCTGTTAATATTACGCATTTGGTCTACCATTCCTTGGAGTGCTGGAAAGCCTAATCGCTCGGCTTTAAGTACTTGTAATGCCTCACCTCCTTCTCTCACCATACACACACACCAAGAAAAGCTTAAGGCTACAATTTTCAAATGAAGTGCCTGAATCCACACAGAATCCCATCAATAAGGAGCCTCAATTTTGAATGAATTCCTTTCAGAAGTGCTGAGTGTCTGGCAGCACCCTCTGCCACTGGTCACTGCCGTTCTGCTTCAGCTCCAGCATGGAATCAGTCTATCCCTACATAGCTATTACAGAGTAATAGATTTGGTCTCAATAAGTCCATTAATGCCTATTAGCCAGGATGGGTAAGGAAGGGTATCCCTAGCCTCTGTTTGTCAGAGGGTGGAGATGGATGGCAGGAGAGAGATCACTTCATCATTATCTGTTAGGTTCACTCCCTCTGGGGCCCCTGCATTGGCCACCGTCAGTAGACAGGATACTAGGCTGGATGGACCTTTGGTTATCTTTATGCGTATGGTACTAAGTAAGGGTTTTGTCATAAATAATAACCACCATCAACAATCAAGAGAGTGGAGAGCAGATGAAAAAGAGGAAGAGCTGAGGAAGAGGATGAGAAGAGAAAAACATATGCTCTCCCATCCTCATGCTGAAACCACTTCTGGATATGCCCCTTCAAATACCCAGAGATGGGCACCTACCCAGTTATCGGCCCCCTGCTGTACATCTTCTGCTGCATTAGCATCATGGATGCTGCCATATCTAAATATACCTCTACATATTTTTGCCTATTTGTCTTCCTCCCTGCCCCCATCTACAGCTTTGATGCAACATGAAAACATTTATTAAATATTAATTACATGGTATCTCTTTGGATTATCCTCCCACATCCAACATTAAGGTAATTTCATACATTGTCAAGGTACCTGAAAATGTCAATGAAAAATGATGGAATCTCTAGTCCTGGAAAAATGAGCAATCCTTGAAGAGGGCAAGAGGACTGCCTTTGTGTTCTGCCCCTCATAGGGATACAGGCAGAAAGGCAAAGAAGGACCTGTTTGAACCCTCAGACATCTTTCCCTTCTGGCACACAAATGCAGGGCTGGATCTTGCATTGGACAACTTCATTGGTGCTTCACTTTCAGCATAATATTTACTTGTTAAAACCAAAAGCAAAAAAACTCCACAACAATATTTTTGTGATGACTTTCCCCCTGATGTGACACATTGGGGATTGAATGTAGGCCCCCCAGTGCTAAAGCTGCTACAACTTGAGCTAAGAGCCAGGACTTGTTAACAGCTGCTATAGCAGATTCCTACCCTCGCAGATTGGGCACCAAGGATAATCTGTAACATGCACTCACGTGGGAGTTACTAACATTTTCTGTTCTGTTGTGAAAAAGTTACTTTTAAATAATTGTACAAGTAGTTAGCGCCTGATTCAGAGTCAATCACACACACACAGTAAAGTCCCTTCATACCCCTCTGGTTGCCATATGTGCAAGAGAGATACCACCCTGGTAGTGTACAATGGATGAAAATTGTAATCCCTTAACACTTCCAAATCTTTTCATTCATCGTGACCTGATACCTAAAAAAGTGGTTCCTAAGCATGCCATTAAATACCAACATATTTGTTGCAACAAGTTCATGAACAACACACTACTGTGTAAGGAGTATATTAAGGCTGGATTTAAGGTCTACTGTTAGTACCTCTCAATTGACGCTCTTTGAGCAATCAAGTACACATCTGAACTCTGAAGGTGTCATTCTTACTTACTGAAGCAGCAGCAGTAGAGGTTGCATAATCATTCTGTGCCAGGACTCGGATCTAGGGAAGAGGAGGCCTTTCCTCTTCAAATCTTCCAAAACCCCACAGTAAAAACGCTTTGTATATGGGGCTGAGTCAGATCGTTACTTCACCAGTATGTATTGTATTATTGCACAGAGGTAATTAAAAAGATCACCAAACTGTCTTAAAAGAATAGATTTTCCTCTCTTGTTTTCTGCATAGGAATGGGTACTGCTGACTTTCAGAAACGACTGTGTTCATTTGTTTAATCCTGGAAACATCCAAAAAACGGTAGGACCTTACCTTGGCTATCTGGACACACCAGTTCAGCAGGAGCTGCGAGCCAATGTTATCCTTGTGTTCGTGAACATAGTCCAACAAGCAGCCATGGGGCATCAGCTGAGTGACGAGCTGAATAGTAGGGCTCAAGCAGACGCCCAGTAATCGCACCAGGTGTGGATGATCCATGCTTGCCATGATAAGTGCTTCCTGTAACAACAAAAACAGCCCAAATCCATCATTGCATTCCAAGGTTCCATTCACTGCAGCTTTACGGCTCCCCACACACTATCAAAAGGGATTTGGTGTTCCCTAAAGTACAATAAAGTTTCACACTATCTTCCCGTTGTGATGAGATAGCACAAGCTACTCTTCAGCAAGGTCCAAATTGATGTAATTTATGTTACACAAGGCTAAACAATGGGCCTGGTCATCAGCTGCTGTAAAGCCGCATACAGTTTCCACTGACAGCTGTTAGGGAAAATCTGCCCTGCCCTACACCACGTCTTGCTGAGACAGCCCCCTGAGGAGGTAACAGTGGTGTAGCTGATCATATTCATAGCATGAAATCTCTTTCTCCTTAAGAGACGTAGCTATTAATACCTATTTCCTTGCATCTTTCCCAAAACGTGCTTGGCATTAAGCAACTGTTATCGCAATGGTTCCCAAACTTTTGAGGGTCACGCCCCCTTCCCCCTGTCTGCATCACCCACAGCCCCTGGAGCCAAAGCCTGGAGTGGGGCCATGGCTTGGGGGTCAGGGAGAGAAGAGCATGGACAGGGGTAAGGGGGCTGAGGCTGGGGGTGGGGCTGAGAACAGAGCCACGGCCAGGAGCTGAGGCTGGGGCCGGGTCCACAGCCGGGCCAGAGTGGGGGCCAGCAGCTGGACCCCTGGCTGGGTGCAGAGCCATGCCGAGGCTGGGGACAGGGTCAGGCGCAGGGCCATGGCCAGGTTCGTGGCGGGGCTGGGTGGTGCTCCCTCCCTGCCCCCTATGTGGGCTAGCCAAGGCCCACTGTGCCCCCCAAACCTGCCTCCATACCCTCCTAGGGAGCACATCCCACAGTTTGATGACCTCTGCATTATAGTGTAAGAACCAGACTTGGCAGCTCTTAGTCCTAGCACTACACGAGTCCTGGGGATCGATCCTACACGATGTTGACCGTTCCAGACCCAGCAAAGTGCTAAAAGCACACAGTGAAAGCTAAGCCTCTGGTGAAGGGCCTTGTAGGATGATGGCCAGACTGCTCAGCACACTGCAGGATCCAGCCTATTAGGTAGCTAACAGAGTAATGGGAATTTTCCCTAATTCAAAGTTCATTTTTTATTTCATGCCTTGGACTGGGACAGAGAAGATCTGGTACAGGATTTTTAAATGGGTCTAAGTGAATTAGGCTCACAAATCTCATCAAAATTCATTGGGACTTGTGTTCCTAAGGCACTTAGACTCTTGAAAAATCTTACTCCTGGGTTCAATTCCTAGCTCTTCCACAGCCTTCCTGTATGACCTTGGGGCCAATCGCTTAATTTCTCCATGCCTCAGCTCCCCAGTTATAAAATGGGGCTAATAACCCTTCCTTTCTCCCACCCTTTGTCTTCTCTAGACCCGTCTTTGGGACAGGACCGGTCCCTTGCTACCTGTCTGCATAGCACAACGGGGGCCCCGGCCTGAGCTGAGGCCTTTAAATGTTACTGTAATAATGCTGCTAGTAAGGGCTGCAAGACTTGGTTCTATACACTCAGTCCTTACTCCGGAATCTTCCAGTGACTGCAAGTCCTGCAGGATCAGACACCAAAGTCTGCAGCTATAATTCAACTGCAAATCTTCACTTACAGCAAAGCTGACACCACCAGGCAGGCAGCTTTCAGAAGAGGAAAGGGGAAAAGCCTCTCTGATTTACTGAGCTCTGCCTTTCCGTGGCAATCATTTCACTGAGGCAAAGGAACACTGAAAAGCGAGATGGAAATGGGGTTTTGTGAAGCTCTTTTGGTTTTCTCCCCCCAAAAAGCTATCCAATGTATAACTGACCACTTAAAGAATAACAGCAATAATAATACCACACAAAGAGAGGATGACAAAACCTTAGCATTGGAAAAACACAACAATAAAGAGAAGTTTCATAAAAGTTTTTCCCCCCCATATTAAAAAAAAAGTCCTGGCAAGGAGGTTGGGTTTGTATTAAAGAAAATTGTTCATCACAGTACAAAGAGTATTTGAAACCAAATTGTGGAGTATTTGCATAATAGTTCTCTTTTTTTCAAAAAAGAAAAGATGAACAAGACACTAATTGTAGGTTTTATTTTTTCCCCATAAAGAAGATAGCAGATGGCCTCAGATTTTTCTCCTTTTTCTTTTGAAATGTATGTGAAGAAAAACAAAACAAAACACCAACCCAACACCGAACTAGTCAGTGGGGCATTTTGGAGGAGGGGTGTGAGGGATATCCTAATGCAACAAATGATATGGGGGGAGTTTGGCTTAAGCAATTTGCTCCATGTTAAAATTAATACAGAGCTCTGTTTCCCGACTCTATATGGGGTCTCCTAGATGCAATTTTAGCCTCTCTTCTGCTGTCACTAGAAAATGTCACTGAAGGCCGCCAGACTAAATACATGTTGACAGGTGCATTATCCTTTTTCGAGAAACAAAATTACTTTGCCTTTCTTTTTCTTTATTACCCCGTATATTTTCTCCTGGAGTTGCACCAGGGGGAAATCTCCCCACACACTTCCCTGGCTTTGGGTAATGTAACAGGTGTTTCTCTAGCACCTTTGAAGTGGGAGCATTTTTCTTTATATTGAGAATAGATTAGAACATAGACATTTTTTTTTCTTTTTTGGCCCACCATGGACAAGAAGGGCATGGACAAAAAAGCTTTGAAGCATCTCTCCTATTAGTCTCTAGCCACATACCATTTGTAACTCTATTTGAGTCTAAAGGGAAGACGTTTCTGTACAATAATAAAAGTAAGCACTGCCATTTGTCACATCCTGGTATTATTAGGAAGTTCATGTTTCCTCATGAGTTTTGGACAGAGGTCCTGGAAAAAAGTGGTATTTTTATAAACTCTTAAGGACTGCTCTGTATTAAATTAAGGCTTGTAATGTAGCAGAGAGCAGCAACACCTTCACTACAGCTCTAGACCATTCAGCTACAAGGGATATTAATTTTGCATGAATCCTGACTTCACACAAATTTCTTCATTAGTAAAATTAGTGCTATTTGTATTACATTAGCATCTATAGGACCCAGCTGAGGTCAGGACCCCAATGTGTCAGGTACTGTACACACATATAGACTCTAACTGGAACGGTTTATGATTTAAATAGACAAGACAGACAAACAACAACAAGAAGGAGGTATTATGATTTTCAAAACCACCTTATTGCCTTGGGAGCCTGAGTCCCCCTTTCAAAAGCAATTTGGGCACATCAGGGCTGTAGTGATATTTGGGCTTACATATTTATCCTACCTGTAACCTCCGCTGTAAAAAGTGAGTGAAATTGTCACAATAACCTGTTATAGAATTAGGACAAGATGTGAGGAGACAGAAAAACTGAATTATTTTAAACAAAAAGGGTTTTACGGATACAGTTCAAGGACTGTCTGAGGATTATGCTTGGTAAACAAGACCAAAAGTCAATGAAACAAAATTGGTGTGTTGGGAATTAGGCTGCTTGGTGGTCATCCCTCCCTTTTGGGGTTCTTAACAGGAAAAGACTTTGGGGAAAATTAGCTGGAAAAGGAACTGTCTGCCAGCAACGGTTGCTGCAAGTTTTATCATCATGGCTGCTACCCTCATAGAATCATAGAAGATTAGGGTTGGAAGAGACCTCAGGAGGTCATCTAGTCCAATCCCCTGCTCAAAGCAGGACCAACACCAACACCCTCAACATCTCCTGGGAGCCTGGACCTCCTACACACCTAATCCTGAGGGATGTCTTCACCAAATTGGGCCAGACAGATGAAACCACTCCCTCCACTAGTGTGGACTACATTCTTCAGCACCACTTGGAGTCCTGGTTGACCGCAGGATGACTATGAGTTGGCAATGTGACGTGGCCGTGAAAAAAGCGAATGCGGTCTTGGGATGCATTAGGCGAGGTATATCTAGTAGGTATAAGGAGGTGCTGCTTCCGTTATACAAGGCACTGGTGAGACCTCATTTGGAGTACTGTGTGCAGTTCTGGTCTTCCATGTTTAAAGGGATGAACTCAAACTGGAACAGGTACAGAGAAGGGTCACTAGGATGATGAGAGGAATGGAAAACCTGTCGTATGAAAGGAGACTCGAGGAGCTCGGTTTGTTTACCCTAACCAAAAGAAGGCTGAGGGGGTATATGATTGCTCTCTTTAAATATATCAGAGGGATAAATACCAGGGAGGGAGAGGAATTATTTCAGTGCAGTACTAATGTGGACACGAGAACGAATGGATATAAACTGGCTGTGGGGAAGTTTAGGCTTGAAATTAGACTAAGGTTTCTAACCATCAGAGGGGTGAAATTTTGGAACAGCCTTCCGAGGGAAACAGTGGGGGCGAAAGACCTCTCTGGCTTTAAGATTAAGCTAGATAAGTTTATGGAGGGAATGGTTTGATGGGATAACGTGATTTTAGTCAATTGGTCAACAACGTGCCATCGCTGGTAAATAGTATCAATGGCCAATGAGGGTCTGGCTGGAGAATCTTGCCTGCATGCTCGGGGTTCTACTGATTGCCATATTTGGGGTCGGGAAGGAATTTTCCTCCAGGGTAGATTGGCAGAGGCTCTGGAGGTTTTTCGCCTTCCTCCGCAGCATGGGGCGGGAGTCGCTAGCTGGAGGATTCTCTGCAACTTGAAGTCTTTAAATCACAGGATTTGGGGACTTCAACAGCTGAGTCAAGGGAAAGGGGGTGGGTCAGCTTTTGTGGCCTGCATCATGCGGGAGGTCAGACTAGATGATCATAATGGTCCCTTCTGACCTTAAAGTCTATGAGCCTATGAGATAATGAGATTTTGGCTTCCCCCACCCCTCTGTGTCCTTCTCCTTCCTCACCTTACATATTTTCTTCCTTCTTTCTCTATCCTTTTGCCTTCTGTTTAATAAGAGTCTGGGTCAGCTGGCCAAGACTGCATATGCTGTTATACTGATGTCAGACTATGACCAGAGAGGCAACTAAGAGCAATGCCCTAAACAAACTAATGCTGGTACAAGTTTGCAAGTTCTCGGAGT